TGGTTGTCTGGGGAGTGGATCCCCCCTATAAAAAAAAACCCCCCAAAAAAAAAAAAAAAAGAAGAAATGCTGTTAGATTTCTTTAAGTTAGATCCCAGTGAGGTCAGGGGTGAGACTGAACTCTATACAAATCCGAAATAAGACCAGAGGGATAGTTCATGTGTGTGCTTTAATGGGGGTTACAAACGACAGGCAGAGAAATGCTTGTGAACTCCAGCCTTGAACTCCCTCGCCTGCAGGATGCCCCGCCATCCACCCGCGCTGTCGCTGGGAAGCGAAGCCTTACCGAGGCGTCCCGACGCCACTGAAGCTGCCGCTCGGGTTCTTGTATGTGCATCACACATACGTGCCCGCACCACCCTGCACCGACTTCGCGCACTGCGCCGCCAACATGCGCTCCATGCAGCGCTTCCACCAGGACACGCGAGGCTGGGATGACATCGGATACAGGTGGGAAGGGCTTGGCCCGGCCCGGGGTGGAGCCGACCCTACGGGGTGGACTGTAATTGGATGAGGCCTGGTTTGGGGCGGAGCTTGAACCTGAAGAAAGTGTCTAGACGCGGGAAGATCTAGAGATGGGTGGAGCCAAGTTGGAGGGGGCGTGGCCTAGTGTGGGGCTAGAAATAGATCAACCGTGAGTCTTGAGTTGGGGAACAGAGCTAGGACAGAAAGTGAGACTTGGGAGAGGGCTGAGATCTGTAGGTTTGGATCTGGGACAGGATGGCGATGGCCTAAGATAGAAACGGCTCTGGTGGGCCAGCAAGTGGTGTGGTGGTTAGGGCAGCTGGACTCCCACATGGCTGACAGCGGTTTGAGTCCCCAACCTGGCAACTTGCTTTCTCACTTTCCTTCTCTGTCTCTCTCTGGTCAACTTCAAAAACATCAAATAATGATTATGAACAAAATGGGGGCTGGCAGGTGGCATGATGGTTAAAAGTGCTGGACTCCCATATGGTCGACCGTGGTTCAAATCCCGGGCCTGGTGGCTTGTTTTCTCTTTCTTCCTGTCTCACTCTGATCAAACTGGAAAATAATAATAATAAATAAAGTTAAGTAAAATAATTCTTAAAAGAAAAGAAAGAAACTGCTCTGAATTAGGCAGGAGTTGAAGCTGAGAAAAGGCAGGGTGGGCGAGGTCGCGTAGAAGTAGGCGTGGCCAATGCCGAGGGGCGGATCCAGAGAGACCAGGCATTTTCTGGAGTGGCTCTCAGCCGGGGTGTGATGGGCCGCAAGGGACTTGGGGTCGGTTGGCTTTGGCAAAGGGGAGGGATCTGGGGAAGGGTCCAAATAAGGGGTTCCGGTGTCTTCTTCGCAGTTTCGTGGTGGGCTCCGACGGCTACGTGTACGAGGGCCGCGGCTGGTACCAGGTGGGCGCGCACACACTCGGTCATAACTCCCGTGGCTTCGGTGTGGCCATCGTGGGCAACTACACCGCAGCGCTGCCCACCGAGGAGGCGCTGCGCGCGGTGCGCGACCTGCTCCCGAGCTGCGCTCTACGCGCCGGCTTCCTGCGGCCAGACTACGCGGTACTGGGTCACCGCCAGCTGGTGCGTACCGACTGCCCCGGAGACGCGCTCTTCGGCCTGCTGCGCACCTGGCCGCATTTCACCCAGGTGAGTCTATGTCACCCGCACTGTCACGACCTGCACCCCCTCGGTCTGCACGAGCTCAGCGCCGCCCCTGGCCTCTGCTTGCAGTCATTGCCTGATCCCTGGTCTAACTTGCAGCCCTTCCATGCAGCCTTCCGTCATGTCACTCTGCCTGCGACACCCCCTGTCCCCGTGACCTCTGCCCCCACAACCTCAGCTCAGACCCTGACCTAGCCAACTTTCATTTTTTTTTAAGCTTTTTGCCATAGGGCACAATGCACTCACCAGAGAAAGACAGAGAGAGGGAAAGTAACAAGTCATGGGGGGAGGGAGGGAATGGCCACGCTACACAATCCCTTCTCCACTTTCCTCCTGGGATTTTGGGTGCGCACCCCTAACCTGCATTAGTTTCAAGTTATCAGGTTCAGGTCCGGGATTTGAACTGTGGGTGGGCCATGTGGGAGTCCAGTGCCCTTTTAAAAAAAAATTATTATTTTATTTAAGGGGGCTGGCAAGTGGCATGGTGGTTAAGGGTGCTGGACTCCCACATGGCTCACCACGGTTCAAGTCCCGGACCTGTTGGCTTGCTTTCTCACTTACCCTCTCTCTGTCCCTCTCTGGTCAAATTAAAATACATAAATGAATAAAGTTAATAAAATAATTCTTCTTTTTAGCAGTGTTTTTTTTTTTTTTGGAGAGGTTTTTGCTATAAGGTGTGTGTGTTCACCAGAGAGACAAGAGAGACAGAAAGCAAGAAATCACCCCCCAGGGGGTGCCACAATCCCTTCTCCTCCATGCTCCTCTCGGGATCTTGGGCATGCACGCACACGCGCCCGGATCTGGGACTCGAACTGCAGTCGACTACATGAGAGTCCAGCGACATAGCCATTACGCTAACTGCTGGTCCCAGCAGTGTTTTTTATTTTTAAAAAAAATTATTTTACTTAATTTTAATTTTCCTTTCTTTATTTATGTATTTTAATTTGACCAGAGAGGGACGGAGAGAGAAAGGGAAAGTGAGAAAGCAAGCCGCCAGGTCCAAGACTTGAACCTCAGTAGGTCATGTGGGAGTCCAGCACCCTTAACCACCATGCCACCTGCTGGCCCACCCAGCTTGTCCTTTGATGTTAGCCACAGCCTGATACATCTGTTCCCCCAACCAAAGCGTAGGCCCTGACCCCTTGTGCCCTCACAGCCTCAATGTGGCCCTCATTGAACTGTGTCCAAGGCACTACTCTCTGCATCTCAGCCCACTCAACCAACCTGGGCCTCACCCCTGCCCCTACCCAGAAGTCCTCTGTCCACCCAAAACTGATCTAGTCGGTGACCTTTTGCCTGTACAACCTCTACCCAGCCCCTAACCCTGTGTTGCAACCCTCTGTCCAGAGAATCTCAGCCCTAAGGATGCCTGTTCAGCCCCAACTCCCTGACCCCAGACAAGAACCCTCATAGACCCAGTCAGCACAACCTCTACCCGGTGACCTCATCCCAGCCCCTCACCTCAATCACTAAAACACCTTTATAATATGGGGCCAGCAGATGGTGTAGTGGTTACATCACTGGACTCCCACATGGCTGACCATGGTTTGAGTCCCCAACCCGGTGACTTGAAACTCATGCCACGTGCCATTTGCATGTGTGCCCAAGATATCAGGAGGAGAATGGAGGAGAAGGGATTGTTGAATGGCCCTCCCCTCAAGAGGATGATTTCTCACTTTCCCTTTCACTGTCTCTGGCTGTCTCTCTTTCCACTGAGTGCATGAGCCCTAAGGCAAAAACCTCTACAAAAAAGAAAAACAGGGCTATAATTACACCTGGGCCATCTCATGCCTCCCACTGCCCACTGCCGCTCCATTTCATTATGCTGCAAATCGCCCACCTCAGACCCTGCAGAGGAGTATCCACTCCCTTACCTTGGGCCCCTGTCTCCTCTCCCATCTGGGGTCCTAGCATGAGGAGAGCAAATCTAGACACACACACACACACACACACGCACACACACATGCACGGACCCAAGCCTCACATTCGTTTGTCTCTTCTAGACTGTGAAGCCACGAATGGCCAGGAGGTCCTCTCCAAGGGCAAAGAAGGAGTCACCCCCACTGATCCCACCAGCCATAGACCTCCAATAAAAAGCCCATGAGTGGCCAG